GTGCCACAAAAAGTGGTTAAACATTGTGAGGAGATCACTCCACAATCTGTGGATCAAAGTGGATCACCTCGAGTAGCATAAGAGCTATGTAGATCTGGGAGAGTACATCATGAGCTTGAGATATATGGTTATCTCGTGACTCAACATGATGACGTATTGGTCTCCCAAGACAATGAACCCGAAACCTACGAAAACGCTATATCAGATCCAGATTCTATTAAATGGCTTGAAGCCATGAAATCTAACATGGACTCCATGTACCAAAACTAAGTATGGTCTCTAGTGGATCCACCTAAAGGGATAAAACCTATAGGGTGTAAATGAAGAAGACTGACATGGATGGCAAGATGCATACATATAAGGCACGATTGGTTGCCAAAGGTTTCAAACAAATTCATGGTATTAACTATGAAGAAACCTTTTCGCTGGTTGCCCTGATAAAATCCATCCGGATTATGCTTGCGATTGATGCATATCATGACTATGAAATTTGGCAAATGGAAGTCAAAATAGCTTTACTGAACGGAAACCTCGAACAGGATGTGTATATGACACAACCCGATGGTTTCGTTCTTGATGGACAAGCTAATAAGTTAAGCAAGTTGCAGAGGTCCATTTATGGACTCAGGCAAGCTTTAAGGAGCTGGACTATTCATTTTGATGAAGTCGTAAAAGAATTTGATTTTATCAAGAATGAGATGAGCCTTGTGTTTACAAGAAAGTACGTGGGAGCGTAGTGGCATTCCTGGTGTTGTATGTCGATGACATAATTCTGATCGGGAATGATATATAAAACTTACAGTCGGCAAAGACTTGGTTATCCAAGTGCTTCTCCATGAAGGACTTAGAAGAAATAGCCTACATCCTTGGAATCAAGATCTATCATGATAGATCGCGTAGGTTGCTTGGCTTAAGTTAGAGTTCATACATTGACAAGGTACTAAAGAGATTTAATATGGAAGAATCCAAAAAGGGATTTCTTCCTATGTCACATGGTGTCGATCTCTCTAAAGATATGTGTCCTAAAACACAAGATGAGAGAGATAGGATGAAGAGGATCTCATATGCATAAGCAATTGGATCTATCATGTATGTCATGTTGTGTATTCTGATTAATGTCTCATAAGCATTAAGCACTTATAGTAGATATCAATCAGATCTAGGTGAGCGTCACTGGATGGCTATCAAGAACATCCTTAAGTACCTGAAAAAGATTGATGATATGTTCTTGGTTTACGGAGGGGAAGATGAGCTCACTGTAAGAGGATACAATAATGCTAGTTTCCAAATGGATAAAGATGATTATCGTTCACAATCCGGGTTTGTATTTTGTCTCAATAGGGGTGCAGTGAGTTGGAAAAGCTCTAAGCAAAGTACTGTAGCGGACTCTACAATGGAGGCTTAGTATATCGCATTATCCGATGAGGCCAAGGAGGCAGTCTAGATCAAGAAATTCATCACCAAAATTTGTGTGGTCTCCACGATTGTTGATCTAATAGATGTTTATTGTGACAACAATGGAGCAATAGCTCAAGCAAAGGAGCCACAGTCTCACTAGAAGTCCAAACACATACTCAAACGATTTCATCTCATCTGAGAAATGGTTGAGAGGAAAGATGTACAGATCAGTAAAGTGCATACTGATGACAATCTCGCAGATCCATTAACGAAGCTTATGTCGCAGCAGAAGCATGAAAGGAACTTAAGGTCATTTGGTATTAAATACATGAATGATTGGCTATAGTGCAAGTGAGAGATTATTAGAGTAGGTGCCCTAAAGCCAATCAATTATTGTAAAATTGACTCTTTGTAATAATGTTCATTGATCAATATAAGGCATTTTATTCTACATCATGTAAATCATAACTGTATATATTGATATATGTCCTTAGGATGGTAGAACCGCGATAAGGGTATCAAGTGTTTCAAATCTTGATAGTGAGAACCCTATGATCACATATGGTAGCCATTTTAGAAATATCTATAGCCCTAGTATGATTCTAACCAAGGACACAGGTAATACGGTAAAGTTATCATAGTGTTGAACTATCGAAAGACAGTGATTGATCTCACTTGTCAAGGCTGTTTGCCAACAACCTAAAGCAACACATGGGTGCTTATTGTAAGCAAGTTTACTAGATTGATCCACTAGATGATTCCATATAAATGGTAACCCCAATGTTTATGAAACAAATCCTCTAACGAATGGTGGTGCATGTGATCCTCAGACTTGAGATCACCGAAGTGTCTTGTGCGTTGACTGATGTAGTTTAACACTAGCCAACATAGTCTATTCAGAGCTATCAATACGATAATGATTGTCAGCATCGAGGAATGTATCAAGACAATGGTGGATTGACAAAGGATTCATCACTTCCAGGTACGGGAGAAGTTATCTCATTGCGTAATTCAGTAAATGACAATGACACTAAATCTGTGGCCATAGTGGGATTGAGTTATTGCTCAATCCAATTTATTTATTCCGGTCATTAGTCTAATGACTGGATACAAAGATATTGAGAGTAAATGAGGTTGACACTAATTTTGTACCTCAGTTTTGATGAGATAACAGATGATAAAAGGATTTAATTGCACGGTAATCATATCGTTAATAGGTAGCTGTTTCACTAAATCTGAATCTATCGGGTGTCTATGATGCTTTGCTTGAGGCCAATTTTTGTTTGTGTGTAGTAAGACCATTAATTGGTGTTAATCGCGATACTACTCATTGTCGATATGCAGAGGAGCTTACGGGTCACACACTTAGAATATAATTTAATAAGTAGTTTGTGTAAGGGGTATTTTCGTCTTTCAAAACAAAAGAGTATTTTAGTAATCTCATAGTGTAATTAAATTTGTTGAGATTGTTGTCTGTATTTAATTAGTGAGATTATATTTAAATATATATATGCATATATTTAAATGAATTATATATATATATATTGATTTTAATTATAATAGTAATTAATTAATATTTAAAATACCAAAACAAAGGTGTTTGGATACAAGGGTAGATTAGAGTTGGAGGCTTATGTCTATTCCTTATAGAAATATGGTTTTAACTCATGCACTATATAAGGGCAAGTTGAGTTAAAAGAATAATTCAATCAATCATTATTCAATTATTCAAAGAAAAGAGGTAGTCACCCTTACCCACTCTCTCCCTCGCGTCCAAGGCATAAGATAGAAGAGAAATTCCTTCTCTTCTTGATTCTTTTGAAAGCCTTTGATTCTTGAAGCCATCCCTTTGTTCTAGCAAAACAAGGGTTAGTTATTCGGATTATTTTCGTATGGATTACCGTTTGTGCGATTCTACATTGAATCGGTAGCGAAATAAATTCAGAGACACTTGAAGGAGCCTTCAAACGTGCATAAGATTTCTGATCCTTGAATGTAATGATATTATTTTTGTGTAGAATTTTGATTTAACATGTAAACTATATAATCTATACCGGAATCTTGGCATAAAAGGAATAGATTCATCCTTTTGATTTTTGTTTTTCCGCTGCATTGGGTAGATTGATTCCTAACACCTTAACCCTACAAGCATAGTTGTTACGCATGAAAATAGTCTCACTGTCATAGGTCTCAAACTCCTGAAATCACTACAAGAATTTAGGCTTCTCGCAACAAAATAATTTGTTACTATAAATATAAAAAACGTGACCAAATCGCTAATGTGACGAATTGTATTAGTCACCATGTTGGTCACATTAAACTTGTACTCTTAAGTGTATGGTGACGAAAAAGCATATGATCATCATAGTCTAATTATTTATTGTGGCAGTAATAATGTCATTTTAAACTAATATATTGTGATAAATTATTTGTAACAATAGAAGAAATTTTTTCACTATGAGTAATATTTTGTCACAATTGATTTATATTTAAAGACTAAATGATAAGCTTTATAGTAAGAAAATAATGTATTATGTCAAAGAGAAGTGCTAGTCTTACAAAGACAAATACAAAGGGGGCATACAAAGACAATTACTACCCTTAATCTTCATGATTTCCCTGTCTCTCTCTTTCTTTTTTTCCATTTTTTCTTTGTTTTTTTCTTCACTTTGTAGCCTTCTTTGTATAAGTCTTTGTAAGGATAGCATTTTTCTATGTCAAAATTGTTAATAATGACTAAAGCTCCGTTTGGTTCCCTTTTGGGAATACTACTATTAGTATTCCCAATAAAGTTAAACAGTAAAATTGCAAAAACTCACAATATTATTCAACTTTTTTTAAACCCTTTAAATTTGTTAATTTAATTAAATACTCCTAAATATTTTTTTTAGAAATTGCAAAAACACCCAAGCAACTCACATTTACCAGATTCCGACCACCACTACCAGAAGATGACCAGAATCTGGTATAACAGTTCACTACCGGCTGAATCTGGCCGGAGGGTGGTCGAAGTGGCCATATCGACGCATGACCGGTTGGATCTTGTCGATCGTGCGCCGATATGGCCTTTTTCGGCCACCACCGTCGGAGGGTGGCCGGAGTGGCCGTATTGGCACACGACTGACAAGATCCAATCGATCATGCGCCAATACGGCCACTCTGACCACCCTCTGACGGTGGTGGCCGACTGTCTATATTTTTTGGGTGGGTTAAAGGTATTTTTGTTAACTTTTAATGTTTTATTATAAGAATGTTTAATAAATAAATAAATATAAGAGGTATTTTTATTAATTTTCAAATCCTACATCGTAATACCCGCCGAATTCAACTTTTTTTAATTTTTTTCACAAAACTTTTCTAAAAAGTATAAAAAAGTGAACCAAATGAAGCCTAAATTATTTGTTTGTAATTTTAATAGTGATAGAAATTTATTTTTCATTAACTTTATCGTGACAACATTTATTTTATCACATATTTGTTTATATGACAATATTATTTGTCAAAAATTATATACTGACGAAAATAATTTTGTAAAAAAATTAATAGCATAACAAATAATTTTTGATACAACTACTTTTACATGACAAATTTTTTACTGTCAAAATAATATAAGAGTGACAAAAAAAATTTTGTCATCTCAATAATGATAAAAATACTCATAACGACGATACCATCTAATGTCTTATGCCTCTATTAAAGCAGTTCATCATACATGAAATCCATCCAGTATATAAAGATAGTAGCATAGTCTAAATGGCTCAATCAACACGCTAATTAGAAGGCCCGTAATGCCAATATAAATAATCGCAAGGATGAATCATCACTTCCCTCTGCAATTTAGAAAAAAGAAATTCATTAATATGCCAAAGAAAGCAAAAGAAGTGAAAGTTGTTTCACTTTTACTTACGTGTTCATCATCAGAGTTATGCTGTCTCCTTTGAGAAGTATCCTTCTTGTGAAAATAAAGAAGGATTTAAAGCAATGTTTTAAAACCCGGCCTGGCCTGACCCGGCCAGTTGAACCGATTTAACCGGGACCTGAAAACTTCAACGGGCCAGGTTTATATTTTTCCAATTCACCCAAAACTCTAGGATTTAAGAGGATGATCGACGAACAATTGAAGGCCGAAATGTTGAGGCTTTTGAAGATAAAGTGCCGATGACTGCAATGGTGGTGACGAAGTTGATTTCCGATGAGTAAATCGACCAAAAACCGAGCAAAACGGGCAGCAACAACAATGGGATTTTGTCGGCGATTGGCGAGGCTAACGGGGGTGGGGTGAGGTGGGTTTTGGTCGAGAGTAAGATGAGAGTAATTCCTGGGTGATGGGGAGGGTTTTCGACGCTGGTGTCGATGAGATGTGGCCTAAAATGCCGATGCTGATGTCAATGTGATCTGACCAAAATCGAACCTATTTCGACCAAATCTTGGGTATATTTTGATGGAAATAGGCTCAAAGGACGATTGGGGTTGCATCTAGGGTGTCACCGCCGCCAAACAGTCGCCGGTTGATTTGCATTTGGGGTGTGTTTGATCAATTTCAAACTTATAGGGACTTAAACAATTTTTAGGGGTGTATTTGCTAAATTTAAAAGTTTTTGTCAACTGGTTTGACCAACGGTCAAACTGGTTAAATCGGTCAACCCAAGACCCAGAAGCTTTGTCGGGTTTCACCCCGGGTTGGGTTTTAAAACATTGATTTAAAGTATGGGCATTCTATTCGAGGGATTTAAAAAAGTGAGAAAATAAATCACCTAATGACGTTCTGGTCTTTTTCTTGATGTGGACTTCTTTAGCATCATCCAGAACCAAGTTCATGTACTCATCAAAACCCTATAAAACCAAAATGAATAACAAAAATTGAATTCACATTTTGAACGATTTAAGAATCTAATAATTGCATACAACGAAGGTATTTCTATAAATAATATTATTTGTCTTTTACTTATTTTGGGAAAAGTTAAGGAAAGGTTTAAAGCATGATCCATACAGCAACGAAAGCAAGAAAAACAACAAAAGACTACCGGCATAATGAATTGAATGGATGATGATTTCATATCTTAGACATGTTCATCGCTAAAGCAATTGGAATGTATTATACTTTGCTTCAAAGAGCTCATTTCCTACGAGTTACATGGTTATATGTGATTCACGCCCCTTTTAAACCTTAGTTCAAGTCACATGCACAACAATATGCCTCTCTTATAATAAGGAGAAGAAATGTTCACAAAGAGACAAGATAAAATGAGATAATTAAAAATTGGCTAACCGACTTATTACAAATGAAGAAACTACATTTTGTATCTGTTCTTGACCTTGTGTAAACAAATTGCTCTGACCTTAAGTAGAGGATTATCTTATGAAAAAAAAAAAAAAAAAAAAAAATCCTTTGATAAGGATGGCTTATAGGTTATCATATCACATATCCAACTAGCCCAACGAAAAAGATTTAAACAGGTAAGCACATTTTTCCCTATAAACATTGTTGAGTGCAACTCAGAACCTCTACCACCTAAGCTTCAGGTAAAAATGAGCATTAAAGCTCAACAGGTCGTGAATTTGACAGCTGAAACATCAACAATTGATACAAGCAAATGATATCTTCCCTCATAACTGAATTTATTATCATTGAAGATTAAAGAAGTGAAGAAAATACAAGTAATATTATGCATTCCTATTTGGAAAGTCAAACAACAAAATGACATGCTGAAACAAATGAGCCACTTGAAGAGTAGAATGATATTCTTATGTGTTTGCCAATCAAAACCCTAACCTATCATAACAATTAGTAGCAAAATGCGTCAATGAAACAAACTAAACTTATAGAATACAGAAGAGCAGAATGCTTGAAAGGATATCACAGATACGAAAACTGAGCTGTTCAAAAGTTGAATTCAACACGAAGCCAGCCTGCTTTTATATTTATGATTGGCTGGAGGTTCAAAAGCTAAGCATGCTAAGGAGTTAGATCACAAAGGAACTAGAACAAGAAATTGCAAAATTAAATGCCAGGAAAGATGCATCTTTTAATTTCTATTTCTTCTTTGTGCTGCGGTGCTTTATTTTTCTTTTCAATTTTATATGGGGTAGTGACGACATTGCAACCTAGTACTATACAGAGTGTATACTTGATGAGAACTATAAATAGATGGGAACAGCAAAGACGAAACACATCACCATAAACATCACCAGATGAAAGATGAAAAGAAAAACTTCAAAATATATAACAAAATGATAGGTATACCACAGAAACAATAATATCAAGACAAGAATTTTAATATTTTACATTAACAAAACAAATCTACTCCGACAAAAGAATGTGAATTTCTCTATATCTAAAAACACTCTTTATCAGCAAAGTGGAGCATGTGAGCAACTTCCAAATCCAATCTTTGCACTTACTAACAAATAACATGCAGACAATATTCAGATCTATCCAACATAAACAATGTGATTAACCACTATATACCAAAAACTGCAAACTAACAAATACCACATCTCTAACATCATCACACCATTAAAAAAAAAAAAAAAAAAAAAAAAAAAAAAAAAAAAAAAAAAAAGATAATCTACCAACTTATTCATGTGTACAATACAATTCATAAAGCACACTCCCCTCTTATGAATTGTATTGATAGTAAAAAAATTTCCAAGTTACCTATTTCTTCAAATAAGGACACTAAAACAAGCCTCTTAATGCTCTAAGGGGGAGAAGGAACAGACATTGTATTGCGTGACAAAGACATAATGCACTTGGGATAATTAACTCACATTACACTAAGGAAAAAAAATAATCATAATATCTTTGTTTTTTAATAAACTCATACCTTTTCGTTTTAACTTTTGTTTACAGGATTCACTCTATTCAAAGTGGGTTTCTTCCTTTATCATACTCAATTTTTCGGGTACAGAATTTCCACTACAGACAGGAGCAACAAATTATGATTAAAAGTAGTAGAAAACCAACTAAAATTCCAAGTGCAAAGCATCAAAATCTTACTAAGTAATTCCAAGTTAATAACCCTTTCACATCTAAAAAACAAAAATGAGAATTATACAATGAAAAAATCTTTAAAAAAAATGAAAACTTACAATGATTCGGCCTTCAATCCTCAAATCCTTCTGCTCAAAAAGCGAAATTTGAATGCGAGCTTTCTGATATATGCAAACAAAAAATAGCTAAAATAAGCCCAAAACTCACCAACCCATAACAAAAAACAAACTTTAATCAGACAGAAGAGGAAATCACTTACGCTTTGAAGAAACCTGAAAATCAGTTCTGGAAACACACAAACCCAAAAAACATTAGCAAAAAAAAAAAGAGTTAATCAACAAAATAGAAGCCATTAAAGACAAGAAGTAGAGGAAAAGATACAAAACGTACAAGTCATAATCCTCTGAAGTTTGGTGCTCGCCATTGTTGTTGTTGTGGTTGAGTTCCAAGAGACATAGAAGAGATGTCGAAGTTGAACCTAGAGCAAACGAGTCAAGCTGCACTTAAGAAGAAGAAAACGGGCTTCGGGGCCGGGTTTAGATTGACCCGAAGATCGGGTTACAGGCCCATCTGAGAGATTTGACATTTTCAAATCAAATTTCAGAGTTTATTTGAATAAGGAATATAACAAATATTATGAAAACAAAAAAGAGTTGAAATACTTTTGAAAACGGATGATAATATCGTAATAATTTGATTTAATTAAGAAACTATCATCTAATTGAGTAAAGGATAAATGAGAATGTTTTTTGAAGGAAATGATTTTCTATAGAACCAATTGAAGGTCTTTTTACTAAAGTTGAAATTTAGGTGGTATTATTTTTTCTCACTGAAATTAAATTTTCTTGATTATTGAATATGTTTGAATGTATTATTCTAATCGATATATATATATATATATATATATATATATATATATATATTATATATATATATTTTATATATATATATATATATTTTTTTTTTTTTTTCTTTTTCATTGTCTAAATATAAGTGTTTGATTGTTTGTTTTTATTGGTGTTTTGACACATATGTCCTCATGAAGTTACTTTTATATTTTTACATGCATGATAATTATGCTATTTCAAATCGTGAAAATAACAAATAAAATAAAGATATAATAATTAATGATAACTATGTTATTACATTGTGTTTGTGCAGTAACTAAAATTTTATTATAACAAAAAAATTAAATACAACTTAATTAATTAATCAATGAAAGAATTAATTTTCAATTTGGTCTCACAATTGTTATATGAACTTTTGATCAATTATTCCAAGCAAGTTGATTGCCAAGGGCAAAGCCAAAAAAATTATTAATAATATAATGTTTACTGAATGATAAAGCCAGAAAGTAATTAGAAAGCTACACTTATAGGGGCTAAAGTATTAACTTCAAAAATTTTGGTGGCTAGAAAAAACTAAATTTATATTTATAGGGAGTAAAATCATATTTTTCTATACTAAATTAAATTTTTTTTTTTTTTTTTTTGAAGCCTGGGTGAATGTGGCTCCGCCATTGTTGATTGCATTTAATGGTTGATTTTGATTTCAATAACACTACGGACACCAAAATATTAGCACCGAATTTCTGTATCGGCCTACATGTAACGTGTCTCTCCATTTTTTTACAATTTTTTTTCTAGTGAACGGCCGTCCATCAAATTTGGACGGCCGTTCACTCACATGGACGCCCGTCCATAATATATGGATGGGCGTCCATATGAAAGGGACGGTCGTCCATATAATATGGACTCCCGTCCCTATTAAAATAAAATTAAAAAATTTGTAAAACCTTAGGGACGGCCGTCCATCCATATGGATGGATAGCCATTAATTTTGGATGGGCGTCCACAAATAATGGACGCCCGTCCTTCACCCAAATATAAAAAAAAAAAAATTTCTTTGGGGACGGCCGTCCACCAATTGTGGATGGCCGTCCCTTACTTTTGGACGGGCATCCGTAATGTTTGGACGGCCGTCCATGCATTTGGCTTTTACAAATCTAAATAAAAACGATGGACGGCCGTCCACAATTTGTGGACGGCCGTCCTTTTATTGTGGATGGGCGTCCGTAAGTAATGGACGCCCGTCCAAGAGTAATTCGTAAAAANATATATTATGACAATTTTTTTTTAATAATAAATAAATTCTTTTTGTGACAAAATAATTTGTAGTTATAGTATGTATGACTAAATATAGTGACTAAAATGTTTTATGACAAAATATGTTTGTCACGATAAACAATTTACCTAGGTGCCAAAATTTTGCGCCAAAAATTTGTGACGAAATATTATGATAAAAATGTTTTTCTTCACTACATTTATTATGGGTTTCTTAATTGTGATAAAATATTATGACAATATTTTTTTTAGTCACTGTATATTCTCTTTGTCATATTTAATGTGATGTTTCTTTATTTTGTCATAATAGCTATATTACTCGTGACAAAATAACATTTGACAAAATTAATTTTGTCACAATATAATATATTTCTTGTAGTGTTATGATCTGTATAAATGTTACTCTTTGCTCCATACAAATAATGCCTTTATATTTTCAGTGCAAAAACTACAGCAGCTAACTCTAGATCATGTATAGGGTATCTCATCTCATACTCTTTTAACTGACAAGAAGCATAGGCTATTACTCTACCCAACTGCATCAATACTGCACCCAGTCCCTGAAATGAGGCATCTGTATAAATGTCATAATCTACACCCTTCTGTGGTAACACAAGAATAGGAGCTGTGGTCAATCTTCCTTTTAACTCTTAAAAACTTTCTTCACAGGCATTCGACCAAATGAAAGGAGTTCTTTGTTTAGTGAGAGCTGTAAGCGGTTTAACCAACTGAGCAAACCCTGCTACAAACCGCCTATAATAGCCTGCTAGCCCCAAGAAACTTGTAACTTCCTTTACTGTCTTCGGCTGTTGCCATTCCAGAATTGCTTTTACCTTACTTGGATCCACTGATACACCCTCCTTTGAGACGGTATGGCCTAGAAAGATAACTTGATCTAGCCAAAACTCACAATTAGAAAATTTGGCAAATAGCTTTTTATCTCGCAATAGCTGTAGCACAAATCTTAGGTGTTCTTCATGTTCCTTTTATGTCTTAGAATAAACCAGGATATCATCAATAAACACCACTAGGAATCAATCAAGAAAATCCTGAAACACCTGGTTCATTAAGTCCATAAAGATTGCTAGGGCATCGGTTCACCCAAAAGGCATGACCACAAACTCATAATGCCCATATCTGGCCCAAAAAGCAGTCTTGGCAATATCCTGCTCTGCAACCCTTACTTGGTGATAACCCGACCTCAAATCAATCTTTGAAAACACTGTTGCCCCTTTCAACTGACCAAACAAATCATCTATGTGAGGTAACGGGTATTTATTCTTCACTATCACTTTATTGAACTCTCTGTAATCTATACACATCTGTAGAGATCCATCTTTCTTTTTCACAAACAAAATTGGAGCACCCTAAGGAGAATGGCTAGGTCAAATAAAACCCTTGTCTAAGAGTTCCTGAAGCTCGGCTGGGGCCATCCGGTAAGGGGTTTTAGAAATTGGTGTAGTCTCTAGTGCCAGTTCAATACTGAATTCTACTTCTCTTTCCGGAGCTAAACCAAGCAAATCTTCCAAAAATACGTCTAAAAACTCCTAAACTACTGGCACATTTTGAATCTCTAGTTGTGGGACATCACTACTGTGCACTACATGAGCAATATACCCTGAGCACCCTTTTCTTAGCATCTTTTTGGCCTTTACACTGTTGATTAACATACTAAGCTGGTGACCCTCGCCAAAATTGAACTTATCTCCATCATCAAGATTAAATCTTGCTTTCTTTTTCTGACAATCAATCTCTACTCCAAATCTCCCCAGGAAATCCATGTGATAAGAGTGTAATTTATACATTTTTATTCCTTCCATATTATGTTTTTTGTTATGTTTTATGCCTAATTGAGTTGATTAGAGTTTATTTTGTAAGTTTGGCATATTTGGATAGACTTTATGAAATAATTGAGAAAAGATTAGGAAATTCCAGAGTTTTTGTTATTTTGACTAGTGCTGCGTTTTTCAGGTTTTTCATGGAGTCAAATTTCTCGATTGCAAAAGGGTTCTTCAGGAAAAGTAAAGAAGATGAATCAAGCTTTCCAGGAAGTATTATGGACGAGAATTCGAGTTCGTTCAGGCCCTCATTAGTTGTTGCAAAATCAGACCTAGTATCCTAGTCACGGAAGGATTTCCTGGCTGAGTATTGAGTTTTCGAATGGGCCTAACTGGAGCTTCAGATATTGAAAGGAGGTGATTCAAAACCCAAAATTCATCTACACATCCAGGACTACAACTTTTATGAAGTGACCAAGCCTAGAAAAGTTCTTTTACATTGTGAGAATCCTGGTGCAAACTGGATTACGAATTCTGTTTTCCAGATCTAATAAGATTTTGACAGTTTTGGAAGTCTATCGTTTAGCAAAGATGTAGGAAAATAATTTTCGTGACTCCTGGCAGAATTAAGCAAAAAACACATTATTTATTTATGAGTTGTTAGGTTAAACAGAGGAGGGCAGTAGAGTTTAGTTTTTTCCGGTTTTCTTTTACTTTCTACATCAAGATGTGCGACTGATCTTTCTTCTTCAGTTCAAGGGGATTTTGAAGCCTGAATTCATGTCATTGGTGTAACTTAACTTCAGTAACATTGTTCTCAATCTTGTTTTTATTGGAATTGTTTATGTTATTCTGTTTTAATCGTTTATGATTCTTGTTTGGGTGATTTAGTAATGGCCTGCTAAATTGTTTAATCGAAATTTTATCTGTTAGAATTAGGAATTATGATACGTAATTGTCCTATTTCTATTCAATAAGTAACACATGATGATAGATGATTAAAGACAAGTTTTAAGTCTGTCACCTTGAATAACATAACCTAAGATAAATAATCCGATCTTTCGTGATTGTTGCTTGGATTGATCTATTTTCCTAATTCTTAAGGCTGCCATTGAATTAAACTTAGAGAGCTTATTCTAGGTTGTTCAAGGGTTAGGATCTAGTTGAAGAGCTTATTTCAATAGCGAAAATTAAAGAAAATTTGGGTAACAGAGCTTGTTGTTTCCTAGGGTCAATAATTCCATAATAACGAGATAGAATAATGTTACGGTTAGTTCATGTCCAATGCATGTTTAGGTGGATCTTGAACTGAGAACTGGTTGTTTTTAATATGATATTCTCTACCATTGGAGATTTATTTGTTTCACTTTAGATTGCATTGACTACAACCCCTTTTCATTACTGTTGTCATGTTTACTATTTAGGATTTTATTTTATTTTATTTTTCTGTTGTTTTCATTGTGGTTATTGGATAGAATATAGGAATTAATCGAATCATTCCCTGTGGGATCGACCTTTGCTTACCCTATATGCAATTTAGTAGTTAGGTTAGTAAGGTTATTAA